CCCCTCTCCCTCTCCCTCTCCCTCTCCCTCTCCCTCTCCTTCTCCCTTTTGGATTTTCAAGATAGAGTTTCTCTATGTAACACTGGCCGTCATGGAACTTACTCTGTATACCAATCTGGCCTTCAACTCACAGAGATCCGTGTGCTTTTACCTTGCAAGCTCACAACCCACCAAATGTTGAGACCCTTTAATACTGTTTTTCATGTTATGGCAAGCCCCCAACTATAAGATTATTTCTGTTGCTACTTGAGAACAGTAGTTATGCTGTAGTTATGAGTAGTAACTTAAAATACTTTCGGAAATAGAGGTTTGACAAATAGGTCTTAGCCCATGGGTTGAGAATCACCATTTAAAACTCTGTAAAATCTAAGTTGAAGTAAATCAAGATTTCATGACAGGGCAGAGAATGTGAAACTCCTAGAAGAAAAATAAAAATAAAGTTTTTTGATGCTACTGGTAATCATGCTTCAGGTAGGAACCAAGTATCCAAGCAAATAATAAATTGATGATATCAGAAACAAAAAAGATTTATATAAAAGCAACGGGGTGAACAAAAATTTAAAAGATAACTTTCAGAATGAGACAAGATATTTGTAAATCATTTCTTTGATAAGAGGTTGATACCTAAAATATATGATGAAACAAACATACCTTAGCAGCAAAAATGTATCTATAAAAAATACATAATAAAAAAGTCAGTAAAGACTCTAAAAATCCACTTTCCTAAACAATGTGAACAAAGAGTGAATGGCAAAAGGTGTGATTAATATCACTCACTATTTAAATACAAACTGAAAGTTCATTCATAACAGAATATGTCCTAAGAAATGATGAGAATATGGCCTAGGATGTAAAGGTACTCCCCATCAAGCATGATCACATCAGCTCAATCCCAACACAATGAAATGGAAGAAGTAACTTTGCCAAATTATCATTACACATTCACTGTGGTACAAATACTACACAACACAACACACACACACACACACACACACACACACACACACACACACACACACAACCACACACACACAAATAATAATATGTAAACAAACTATATTTTAATAAATAATAAAAGTGATTTGATGGAAGTTTTGAATCATGAAACACTTGTTTGTTGGTAGAAAAAGACACAGGTGTAGCCACCACAACAAACAAAGTGGATGTGTCTAAAAAAATGAGAAACAAAACTATATCAAGCTTACCTAGCATGTATCCAGCAAAGAAGAATAAAGTGGTAACTGGAAGTAGATTCAGAACATCCATGTTCATTGCAGAACTGTTCAAGAAATGCAGATAATCACCATAAAGTGCTTTTCTGGAAAAATGGAGAAAAATGTATTATAACATATACTATCAAGGAAGAAATGTCTGACAGTTTTGACAACAAACATGAAACTGGAAGATACAGTAAGTAAATCCCAACACAGAAAGAGTCAGAGTGTTATTTTCTTAGTATGTAGATTTTAACAGGTGAACTCATAGAAAAAGAATCATGTGTAGATTCCTGAGGAGGCTGCATCAGGAAATGGAATGAATCAAAGCCAAGCCACAGAGCACATGTTAGTTGAATAATTCTTGAGGATATATTGATGGTGATTTGTTGAATAGTTTCTGCTTCTATTTCACAAGGCAAACCTATCTCTATCCCAAATCATTATATTTTATATCTTTAATATGTTCAACTTTTATTTGCCAACTAACTTGTTCTATACATGTAAAACAGGAGCCACAACAAAAAGAATGGTTTTAAATAACAGAGTTGTAAGTAAATAAAGAAAACTTTGAAGGAATTTAAATCTGTAATCAGAATTTTACCTGGACAGAAAATGTTACAAAGGGATTTATTTTTATATGAAATTAAATTATTTTTAGAGACATCTTGTCTTTTTACTTTAAAATTCAGCACCCAACTTAATTGTTTTATTATTTTTACATTTAATGAGCCAATTTAAGAACATAAAACTCATTCTAAAGACCGAATTTATGCTCCTCTTTCAACAGTTCATTTTAGCATATGTTGGAAAAGCAAACAAAGCATGCACAATTAAAAATTGTTTGGTTTCAAAAATTAATGTGTCATCATTATGAAAACAAGTAAATATGTTTAAATGTTAACTCCATGATATTATATTTAAAGCTGTATGCTTTCTCTTTGGATAATATGAATACATAGATATTTTATATTAAGTCTAGGATATTCTTACAAACTGGGTCCTGCTACAGTCACTATCATCAGCTGGATATAGAAAACTAGCTAGGTGAGATGATGAATACCTTTAATTCCAGAACATTGGAGGCAGCAGAAGGCAGATCTTTTGAGATCAACCTTCTCTACATAAGCAGCTCGGGATACATAGGGATAATACCTTGTCTCAAATTAGAAACAAAAATAAAACCAAAACATGAACCTCTTATGGAACCCTAAATGTTCTAGTCCCTCTGCTGTGACTACATTGAACAAATTGTAGGATTCATCTTGTCTCTCTTTGTTGTAGTCATAAATGGTGAGTGCTTACATTAGTCCTACCATAATTTCTGGTGAAATCAACTAAAACCTAATGTCATCATCGGAAGTAATTTAATAAACCTAACCCAGTTTGATTTCTGAGACAAACATGTTTTCTTTTACACATTACCAAAAGTAAGAAATCTCAACCATTTTGTGTCATCTGTATCACTGTAAGTTCCATTACATTTTGGGTAGATTTTCTTTCCTTTCCAAAGAATAAATAAAGTTGCAAATGAGAGATTTATCTTTGATGAGTTTAATTGTAAAAATATACAGTCATTCCTGCTAATATGACTACTTGAAAAGATACATATATTCTCAGAATAGGGATCTTAAAATTCATGAAATCACTCTGAACAGGGAAACCCATAGGCTGACTGCACATCATCCCCTCTCTACCCACTCCTCCAAATCCAGTCCCCCACTCTCATTCCCAGCTCTTTAGAAGACAAATCCTGTTGTGGCCTTCCCTTTTTCTCTGTCTCCACTGCTTGTAGATCAACCAGCTCTTTTCCAAATATTTTTCTCTCACTCATTCCATTATATTCAATTCAAGCAGATATTCCTTGGGAACCTTCAGGGCACTTTTGCAAAGGAAGCAGGTAAGCAAAAGCAAATCTTCACCTATTCCTACTCTCCTCCAGTCCATTATCCCAATCTCATCCTCAGTTCTAGGAGACTTCTTGCTGTTGCTGCCTCCCTCTCCTCCCTGCCCATGTTCAATAGATTACAAAGATCCTCTTTTCTTTCACTCCCCCACCACTCATTCTGTTATCCCAGCTCCAAATCCAGCAGATATTTCTCTGGGAACCTGCCAGTCAAGCCTGTCATAGTAGCAAGGAAAACTTCCTATCTCCATTCCCTTCCTTTCCTCCATATCTAATGCCCCAGTCTCATTCCCAGCTCTGCAGCAAACTACCTATGTGGCCTTTCCTCACTCTCTGCATACATTCTAGGAAACTAAGCAGGTATGACTGAGCATCCCACTTTCCTATCTTCTGTGGACTCTATCAGGCATCCCCAGAATACCTCCAGCTCCCAATTCCTAGAGCAAGCATTTTACCCAGAACCCCCAGTTGTCACACATATCAGGATCCCAGAAGAATTTCTTATCAGGTAACACACAGTCATCACACTCTTAACCAAAGAGGAGTACAGAAACCAAAGAAAAAGAGTGCCAATCAAACAAAGACCACATATCAGTACCTAGAATTACAATCTTCCAAAACCCAGATGCCTAGACTTGAACTTAATATACCAAATCAATAATATCAAGGGCAACAGACGTACTAGAGCAAAGCAACCCTACCAAAGCAGATCATGAGTATTTTAACATAGCTGACACACAAGACACAGACCTAAAATAGCCTTCCTGGATAACATAGTTATCCCTAAAGAGGAAATGAAAGTATGCCTTAACGGAAGCCATGAAAACACTAACAGTGGAAGGAAATGAACAAAGCAGCTCAATAACTGAAAGTAAAATAGTATCAATAAAGAAAATCCAAACTGAGGTAAATCTGGAAATGAAAAATTTGTGAACTTATACAGAATCTTCAGAGGTGAGAATCACCTACAGTATACAAGAGATAGGAGAGAAAAATCTGAATCATTGAAGACATGGTAGAAGAAATAGACACTTAGATAAAAGAAAATGTTAAATCTAAGCAGAAATATTTGGCACAAAACATCCAGAAAATCTAGAAAACTTTGAAAAGGCCAAATCTAAGAATAATAGGAATAGAGGAAGGAAAAGAAACCAAGGCCAAAGCCACAGAAAATACTTTCTCTTTTTTTCACAGAAAATATTTTCCAACAAAATCATAGAAGAAAATTTCTCTAGTTAAGGAAATGCCTATCGAGGTATGAGAAGCATACAGAACACCAAATAGACTGGACCAGAAAAATATTCCCCTTGGCACATAATAATTAAAACAATAAACATATGGAACAATGAAAGAATATTAAAAGCTTTAGGGGAAAAGACGAAATAACATATATGCAGACCTATAGAATAACACCTGACTTCTCAGTGGGGGAGTGGAATTGGAGAGTCAAGTGGGGATGGGGAGGAAGAAGGAGCACAGGGAGGCATCACAGAAAGTCACAACTAAAACTCAAGGCAATTTTAAGGGAAGCATGAAAGGTAATACAGTAGAAGCTTCCTAAATTATCAAGATAGATGAAGGCAATCTAACTGAAACTGCCAAATAATGGGGGATACAGAGTTATACCTAGACATCTCTTGTCACTGAATAAAGCTTCTAGGCCTGGGATTGGGTTGCATATAATTATGATGTTGACCAAAGGGTTCCCATGGGAAGCCCCCGAAAACACTGGCTTTTGTTAAAGACTATGTTACTCTCTACAAAGTGACTGTCACTAGCCTTATTGCTGCTGAAGACATTATCAGCACAACTCATTGAACTTATAAAACTCAATCTGCTTCCTTCATAGAGCCTTCATCCCTATGTTCTAACCTCTTTAGTACAGGAAGGTACTCTGCATGCTCTGAGGACAAACATAAATGCCATCCCAGGCACAAACACTTTGATCTACAATAGTATTTTTCCTTAAAAATATGCCAGTAAAACTGTGGCACAATATTTGTGGGGGGAATCAACCAATATCTCATTTGAGTAAAGGCCCACTCTGTAAGAGGAATCCCAGACTTGACTCTGGGTGGCCAAGAACCTGAGAGTAGATACCCTAAAGATACAGGGTAAAACCAAATATTATTTTTCCAAAAACAACCAAACAAAAAAACAACAACCCCCCCAAAAACAGCAAAAAGAAAAGAACAACAAAATTAGCAATAAAATGACTCCTAATGACTTTTCAAGGTCTGTGAAGAATTGTGCCAGTATTTGATGGGGATTGCATTGAATCGGTAGATTGCTTTTGGCAAGATCTCCATTTTTACTATGTTGATCCTACCTATCCAGTAGCATGGGAGATCTTTCCATTTTCTGGTATCTTCTTTAATTTCTTTCTTTAAAGACTCGAAGTTCTTGTTATACAGGTCTTTCACTTGTTTGGTTAGTGTTATCCCAAGATTTTTTTTGTTGTTTGTGGCTGTTGTAAAGGGTGATGTTTCTCTGATTTCTTTCTCAGCCCATTTGTTGTCTGTGTATAGGTGGGCTTCCTGAACATAATAAAAGCAATATACAGTAAAATAGCAGCTGACATCAAACTAAATGGAGAAAAAGTCAACTCAATTCCTCTAAAATTAGGAACAAGACAAGGCTGTTCACTCTCTCCATATCTCTTCAATATTGTCCTTGAAGTTCTAGCTAGAGAAGTAAGACAACAAAAAGGAGATCAAGGGGATACAAATTGGAAAGGAAGAAGTCAAACTTTCACTATTTGCAGATGATATGATATTTTACATAAATGGCCTGAAAAACCCTACCAGGGAACTCCTACAGCTTATAAACACCTTCAGCAAAGTGGCAGGACACAAGATTAACTAAAAAAAACCAGTAGCCCTACTATATACAGATGAGAAGTGAGCTGAGAAAGAAATCAGAGAATAACCCAGCAGCTGATGGAAGTAGAAGCAGACACCCACAGCTAAACACTGAACAGAATTGGAATTCAGTTGCAGAGAGGGAGAGGTGATGAGCAAAGGGTTCAAGACTATGCTGGTGAAACCCACAGAAATAGCTGACCTGAACAATGGGTAGCTTATGGACTCCAGACTGATAAGTAGAAAAGCAGCATAGGACTGATCCAGACCCCTTGAACATGGGTATTCTTGAGGATGCTTCGGAAATCTATGGGGCCCCTGGTAGTAGATCAGAATT